CTAAGTTTTAACGGTTCTCCAGAGGCCACCGGAAAGATTCTAACACCAAATATTTAGGGTCCAGCACAAGTGGCCCTGAGTCCTCTGCCCTCTCATCTCGGTCCCTCTCTTCCGTCCACTGCAGACTCAGCGTCTTAGTCTGAGCGACAGGACGGTCTAGTACGCAGCACGCACTTCCCATCACCCCGGGGTTGCTCCGTGCTGCACTCAAGTTTGGGCAACTGGGGCTCCACATCCTCTGCTCTTTACCGTTAGTCTAAGAAACATGAAAGCGGAACCTGCGCTGTACTCCTTCGTCCCTCACAGCCCGAGAACACGGCCTTGCGTGTAACAGACGCTCATGAAGTGTCGCTGCCTGATGGGTCTGGAGAAACCCACACCGTCCCGGGCAGCAGGCGCTGTCTTTTGTATAACCAGCAGCTGTCACTGCCGCTGGAATCTGGTAGTGCAAACACCAACATCGCTGATGGAAGACTCACCCAGCCGGGAGCCCGACTCGACAGCAAGGCTCCTACAGAGGACAGCGCATGTATGGAAATGACCCCAAGCTCTCAAAACAAACAAAAAAGTACCAAAAAGTAAAAAAAAACAAAGAAACTGCAACCGAGATAAATGTGGAAAATGTGGCTGTTACGATTTATTTCAGGAGAGCCTTCAGCCACGGCATCTCAGAACAGCATCTTTCAATGTTTCCATTTCTAAAAATACTGCTCGTTTAACCACCTCGCCACCCTGAAACCACACAACTAAAGCAGGGTATTGATAGTTTCGATTCTAGTTAGTGTGTTTTAAATGACCTTCACCTCAAAGATTCCCCAGGCAGTAGCAGAGCTGCACGGAGCTCAGCAATCACAGCCACAGCTCTCTGAACACCGGCCGTTCCCAGCGCGCCACCAAGGCCAAGGCCGCCACGTTTTCTGAACCAAAGATGGCTTCTTTTTACTGATGACATTCTCCACTTGAAGGAAAACACAAAACAAAACTTTCAGATTTGGCTACTTTAATCACAGCAGTGTGAACTGGGGGTGGCTGATATTCCATGAAGACTGTCTCTCTTTCTTTATAAATCCTAAACATTTAAAAATATCTTTGCTGGGCTGGAATGTCACTTTCTGGTATTTTGCCCTCTCCAACATGAATCTTTTGCGACTATGAAGGCATTTTACAGTTCCTGGAATTTGCTAGAGACAGATTCCCAAAGAGAACGTCCTAGGAGGTGGGTGTGGGCAGCCGCAGGGAAGAACGCCCACCTCCACGGCCGACCGGGCATCTTGCCGGGAGGCTGTCACCGCTCCCTCACTCCTCAGCAGACTCCACAAGTCTCTGCACTGGCAATCGCACAGCTGAGAAACATGCAATAGTCCTAACTCGTTAAAGTTGAAGTTAAGAACAAAAAAGATTATGCTGCACTTAGTTTCCAAGGCACGTGAGGCAGGGAGGGGCCTTCAGATGTCAGCGTTTGCGTTTCCACTCTGCTCGCCACTGTGGTGACAGGGCTGTGGGCTTCCCTCCGCCTCGGCACGAAACGTCAGCCATACAGCCCAGGACTACCAAAAGGGCAGACTGGTGCCGTGGCCACAAGGGCAGGGGTTCACTCCAGCTTCTCAAGCAGGCCCTTTCACAGCAAGACAGTGGGAAGGCGAGGCGCGTCCCGAGGAGCTGGGGTGTGGGGCAGCAATGCTGGAATTTAGGTGTCCCCAAATGCCCTACATTCCCAGTTCCCGGAGCAGCCTCAGCCCCCTACTTCCTCCAGGGCCCCTCCCCGGCAGGCACGGACCCTTCTCCCGCACCTCCAACTTTCCTCACTCCTGATGTCCGTTCCTCACGTCGCCGTCTTAATCTTCAGGTGACTTGTGTCACCTCTCTCCTGCATAACTGTCAACTTGGGCCACTCTCTCACTTTGCCCCTCTGTGCTCAGCCAAAGAACAATTCAATTCTTTTTTTTACAGCTTGGCCCTCAGCTAACATCTGTTGCCAATCTTTTTTTTTTTCTTCCTTCTTCTCCCCACAAAGCCCCCCAGTACATAGCTGCGCATTCTAGTTGTAGGTCCTTCTGGTTGCGGCATGTGGGACGCCGCCTCAGATGGCCTGATGAGTGGTGCCATGTCCACGCCCAGGATCCGAACCAGTGAAACCCTGGGCCACCACAGCCAAGCCCGTGAACCTAACCACTCGGTGACGGCGTGGCCCTCAATTCTTGACCTACTGCGTGCCTCTGACTCCTGAGCTGAGCAGTCTAGAGAAAGGCACATCACACTGATGGGGGTTTTCAACCTGTGGCCTCAAGCTTCAGGTGGGCTCTTAATGCTACCAGGTGATCGTGTGCACCTCCCTCTTTCCAGAGGACTTCTCACTCTGTCCCTTGTCTCCGCAAACTCAGGGCCCCTCCTCCAACACGGCACTCAGCTGTGATTGCTTCCTCCTTCACAGGGAAAATACAAGCAACGAAAAGAGAGGTGCAGAACCTGCTCCTCCGCACCGCCACCTCGCCCCCACATATCTGTCAGTCACTCTACTCCCACAGAGACTATCTGGGCTCCTAAAGCAAAAACTCCACCTGTACACAAACGCACCTCTTTCACCTACTCAGGAAATGATTTCAGCAACCCTCTGCCAAACATTATCAATTTTCCACTCTCTACTGAGTCCTTCCCACCAGCATGTAAATACAATGCTAAGGCTTCCAACTAAAAACTAATCATCCTGGCCTTATTTATCCCACCAGGTACCACCCCACATTCTCCTCCCCTTTGCCGCAAAGCTTCTAAAAACAGCTCCCGACAATCTCTCCCTCTGATTGCGCTTTTGTTACCAGAACCACTCATGGCCCAGGGCACTGATCCCAGCGTCTACGCTCGGTCCTCATCTCAGGTGGCTCACCACACACTGGACACAGCTCACCACTCCCTCCTCTGACGTGATTTCCTGTGGCAAGATGCCACACTCTTGGTGGCCCCGACCTCTCTGGTTGCTCCCTCTTGGCCTCCTCTGCTGCCTCTTCCTCTTCTCTTACTCCTCATGAAGCTGGAATGTCCCGGGGCCCAATCCTTGAACCTCTCCTCTCACAGGGATCTCCTCTGATCTTATTCCTTTACATACCAACCACAGGCCAAAGACTCCCATTATGTCTCCAGCTCAGATCACGGTCTGAAACTATCACAGCTGGGTATAACTGCTCACTCAGCATCTCCATCTGGGTCGCTTAGCATCTCAAACTCACTATGTTCAGAACTGAACTTCTAATCTCTGTTTAATCTAACCTAATCTCATCTGCCCTGGTGATCTAGTGGTTAAAATCTGGCACTCTCACCACCATGACCAGTTTGTTTCCCAGTCAGGGAACATCCCCTCCCCGACCTGTTGGCTGCCATACTCTGGGGGCTGTGTGTTGCTGCGATGTTGAAAGCTCCGCCACTGGGATTTCCAGTACCAGTAGGGTCTCCCACGGTGGACAGGTTTCAGCAGAGCTTCCAGACTCAGATAGACAAGGAGGAAGGACCTGGCACCCACTTTCAAAAAAATTGGCCATGAAAACCCTGTGAATAGCAGACAGCGCACTAGATGTCTGATACAGTGCCAGAAGGTGAGAGGACGGCACAGAAAGACTCGACAGGGTTCCCCTCTGCTGTCGACAGCAGCACTAGGAGTCAGAATCCAGTGAATGGCACTAACGACACAAAAATCTCTTTTTTGCACCCAAACTTTCCCTACCTACAGACTTCCCCATCTCAGTTGGTGATAGCTCCATCTAGCTATGCAAGCTAAAATCCTTAACATCATTGTAGACTTTTCTCTTCTTCTTATGCCCCACACCCATTCTGCCAGGACATCTTGAGCGCTCGATCTTCAAAATATATCCAGAATGTGACCACTTTTTCACCACTTCCACTGCTACCTGTACAGCAAGCTACCATCATCGCTTGTCTGAATTACTACCACGGATTTCTCTAATGGCTTTGGAATGGTCTCCTGGTCTACCCTCATTTTCCACCTCCTCCATTCTATTACCAACAGAGGCCAGAGTGAGCCTATTAAAATGGAATGCAGCTCCTGTCTCTCCTCTGCTTAAAACCCTGCAGTGATTTCTCACCATAAAACCTAACATTCCCCCAAGAGCCTACGATGCTAGACATGCTCAGGTTCCTGCTACCTCCTGACTCCCACCCCCGCACTGCTCTCTGCGGGCTCCCCTCCAGCCACCCTGCCTCCTTAGTGTTCCTCCAACATGCCAGCATGATGGACTGGCCTTAGGGCCTTTGCACCCACCTTTTCTTCGAACTATAATGTTCTTGTCCAAGACGCTAATGACTAGTTCCCACAACTCCTTAAATACACGTCCAAATGTCAGCTTTTTAATGAGACCTCCCTGACTGCTCCATTTAAAACTGCAACCTGCCCCACCCCTCTAAACGTGGTCTACTTCTCTTCTCTTCTCCACAACATTTATGCCTTACTTTTTCATGCTGTTGATTGTATATGGTCTCTCTCTCCGAGCCTGTCCCCACCCCCAACCCCTGCTTACATGTGACTAAAGCAGAATCTCCAGGAGAGCAGGGTCTTGCGTCTGTTGTGTTCACTGTGTGTCCTGAGTTAGCACAGTGCCTGGGACAACGCAGGAGCTCAATCTATATGTCCTCAATGAGATAATGAATCAAGGAGACTCTGGATACATTCACTTTGATCTAATCCTGTTTCGTGGTCTACAGAATGAAACTAGCAGTAGCAACCTCACAAGGTGGCTATAAATAGTACATGAGAACCCATGTGGAAACCTTTATCAAGTATTAATTACCATAACAGCCTAACATAATATGTTGAGGACCATCTTTAAAATTCATTCAGGGGAAGTGTACTAGGTAATTGCTTATATGGTATGGCTTACGCAGTACAGAAAAATCACCCAGGCAGGCCTACGATCTACCACAACAATGGCCTGTTATTCCACTAAGAAGACGTAAATGAAAGTTTTCAAGCCTTCCTTTTCCAAATTCAACTTTACCTCTGAGAAGTCCTGGGAGGAGAGGAGCTGCCTTCTGGCCAAACCCTGGGGTCCTGGTGTGCAGATGTGCATCCAGCGGCTCTTTCCCTCAGGACAGGCTGGCCACGTGGAGAAGTGGGAGAAGGTCTCTGCCACCAGGGTCCCTCCAGGCCTGGGGCTCGGGGAGCTATCAGACTCAGCAGGGCACTTGGCACCTGGGAAACATGAGAAGGGCACAGGAGCTCAGAGAGCAGGTTCCAGGGGGGAGGGTGGCAAAGCCCAGTGTGCCAACCTAGAACCACCCAGTGATCGGCCTCCCAACTCTCCAAGCCAGAAGGGAAGGCTATGGATAGAATTCCTAGAAATTTTATCAGATCAAACATTTAGATAGTATCACAGCTCATTGGAAAAGGACCTGAAGTTTACTGTATAAATGACCAAACTCCACCAAGAAGTTAACATATAAATCCACTAACAGAGTCAATTCTCAGATAACAAATTGTTCCTGGTCTCCCATTCTGTCCTCTCCTTTTACAATCCACCCATTCAGCTTTAACCCAATGAGACTCCTACAAGAAGAGGTTTAAGTCCATAGAAAAGATTAAGAATAAGGTGAGATTATGTTAATTGCAATCTCCAAGGCAACCACTAAGAAAATAACTAAAAATGTATAATAAAATAAACAACAATGGAATTATAATGTTATACAGTCATGCAGCACATAACGACGTTCTGGCCAACGACAGACCACATACACAATGGCGGTACCATAAGATTAGCACCATACATCCTAGGTGTGCAGTAGGCTATACCACCTGGTTCTATGTGAGTACACTCTACGATGTTCACACAACTACAAAAGTCACCTGACGATGCAGTTCTCAGAACGCATCCCCATCGTTAAGCAATACATTACTGAACTAGAAACTATTTAACGCAAAAGAATGCAAAATAGAGGAATAAAGGAACTCAAAAGACATAAGATCCATAGATGGGAGATATAAATTCCACCTTTTCAGTAATTACATTAAATGGTCTAAACACTCCAACAACAAGGCAGAAATCAGTGGAATGGATAAAAAACTATATCCTGTTACAAGAGACCCACTTTAGAACAGCATCAAAAAGAATAAAATATGAATACATTTAACAAAAGATGTGCAAGACTTGTACACTGAAAACTATTAAAACATCATTAGCAGAAATTAAAGACCTAAATAAATCTTTCTACATCCTGTGCTCATGGATTAGAAGACGACAGAGTTAGGATAGCAATACTTCCCCAATTGATCCGCAGATTCAATGCAATCCCTATTAAAATCCCAGCTTCCTTTTTTTGCAGAAATTGACAAGCTGATCCTAAAATTAACATAGAAATCCAAGTGACCTCAAATAGCCAAAGGAAGTTTGAAAAAGAAGTTGGAAGAGTGACACTTCCTGATGTCAAAAAAAAAAGCTATAGTTATCAAGACAGTGTGATACTGGCATAAGGACAGACATATAGATCGATGGATTAGAACAAACCCACATATTCATGTTTAATGGATTTTTGACAGGGGTACCATGACAATTCAATGGGTAAATGACAGCCTTTTCAACAAATGGTGCTAACATGGAAAAAATGAATCACAACACAGTCCTCCTACCTTACACAAAAATTATCTCAAAATAGATCACAGGCCTAAATGTAAGAGGTAAAATTATAAAACTCTTAGAAGAAAATATAGGAATAATTTCTTGTGACCATAGAATAAGCAATAGTTTGTTAGGTAGGTCCCCAAAAGCACAAACAACCAAAGAAAAAATAGATAAACTGGGAGCCCATCAAGTTTTAAAATTTTGTGTGTCAAAGGAAACCATAAAGTAAAAATCAACCCACAGAAAGCAAAAAAATACATATCTAAATCATAAAAAAATCATATATCTAAGGACCTTGTATCTACAGTAAACATAGAACACATATTACTCAACGGTAAAAAGACAACCCAAATAAAAAATGGGTGAAGGATTTTAATAGACATTTCTCCAAAAAAGATATTCAAATGTCCAATAAGTATATAAAAAAACGCTCAACATGATTATTCAATTAGGGAAATGCAAATCAAAACCACAATAAGATACCACTTCATAGTCACTAGGAGGGCTACAATCAAAAGACAGATAATAGCAAGTGTAGATGAGGATGTGGAGAAATTTGAACCTTCCACACTGCTGCTGGGAAGGTAAAGTGGTGCAGCAGCTTTGGGAAACAGTCTGGCACGCTCTTCAAAGGGTTCAACACAGAGCTGCCATATGACCCCGCAATTCCACACCTAGGCGTATACCCAAGAGAAGTGAAAAGAAATGTCCTCAGAAAAACCTGCACATGAATGTTCACAGCAACATTATTCAAAATAGGCAAAAAGTAGAAACAACCCAGATGTCCATCAACTGGTGAATGTGTAAACAAAACGTGATGTTTCCATGCAACGGATTTGGCCATATGAAGGAATGAAATACTCATGCATGCTACAACGTGGATGAACTGTGAATACATCATGCTGAGTGAAAGAAGCCAGACACACATTGCACGAAACCATGTACATGAGATGTCCAGAACAGGCAAATCCACTGACACAGAATGTAGATTAGTGGTTTCCAGGGATTCAGGATAGAGGAGAATAAGGGGTCACTGCTAATGGATAGAGGGTTTTTGGAGGGTACTGAAAATATTCTGGAATTAGATAGTAATGATGTTTGCACAACTCTGAATATATCGAAAACCACTGAATTGTATACTTGAAAATGGTGAATTTTATATTACATGAATTATATCTCAATTAAACTACTATTAAAAAAGAAAGAAACACGCCAACTGGAAAAAAATTAAAAACAATAAAGCATGATAACTCCAGACTTTCTCAAACTCTCTCTTTGCTCAAGTATAGGTTCTACTGGTCAGGAATGCAACGCCAGCACCTGAACGTGGCTTATTTTTAAGCATCTCTTGTAAGGGAGCAAAGAACAAAATCAATTCTGTCCTGCTCACTTCAAAGCTGGCATCAGACAACAGTAAATGTTTAAATCTGAGTAGATACAAAATACATCCCAGTGGATAAACCCACATATCTCCTCGGTAGCCTTTTACTAAAATGACAAGCTTTGCCCAAATGCAGCCTGAGAAAGCGAGTTCTCTTGCCATGCTCATGGCCAGGCCCCTGAAGGCTGAAGGCTTCAGCATTAGGGCTGAAAGCTCTGATCTAGCCCCCAACGTCACCCAGCCCCGGCCCAGAGCAAGCCTCCTCGCCTGCAGAAAGCTGCTCCTCCTCCGTCATGAACAGCATCAAGATACCAACTCCAGAAAATGGGATCCTGTTTTTCGCAGATCCATTCTCTGCCTTTACTTGGCAATAAATTTCGATCCTTCAAACGAAAGACCATACAATACGGTCTCTTTTATTATATTTTTTCTGCCATTTTTCCCAGGTAAGGGGAGCCAGTAAATAGAATTATAACCTTCAGCAGGAAAGAAAAGCTCTCTGCTCAGCTGGTGCACCGACAACAGGAGACTTTTTTAGCTGCATTATAAAAAGATTTCTACAGAGCTGCTGCACGCAGAGCTCTCCGCCTGGAGGGGTGTGCTGTGAGCCTGTGTGGCTTTCAGGCTGCTGGCAGGTCGTGAAGCCCCCGCTGTCAGGAAGCTGACATACATTTGCACTGCCTCAGTACCACAACCGGGCGCAGATGAAAGGGCTGCAGCATGTCACCTGGTGGGTTTTCATCCCCAGGTTGAATGCACACTGTGGCAGCCACCAGCCGTGCTGCAGTTATCCACGTACCCAGTGGGGCTCTGGCAGTGCTCTGCTCACAAAGCTGCAGCGGTGCTGAGCAGTCAGTCCTGTCCTGGTATCTCCCACCAGCCTTCTATTTTCAGGGCTTGGTTCTGCAGAGCACCAGGAATGCCCAAACTGGGTTCTAGCAGAAAATCCTATAGCAAATATTCACCCGTTTATCAACATTTTTCTCACTCCTGCCACCTGCTGAGATAGTGAGTAGGAGCGATACAAAGATGGGTAAGACGCGGTCCGGCTCTTCAGGCGTTCAGACTGCGTAGGAACCTTTATGCCCACACCTCACCCCTCGAGTGATTGAAAACAAACCATTATTGTTTGTGACTTGAAGAAAATACGATATTCTAAGGTACAGGACATGGCTTCTCACTTCACAAGAGTGTGCTTCCCTCGAGGTTTCAATATAATTTCTTTAACTCCTTTATGATATCAGGGTGCTACACCAGTTACGCACAAAAGACTCAACTGCTTGGAACAACCTGAGAAGGTCAACCTGGTGCAAAATATGCGTTACAGAAATTATTTCAATCATTTCTTTCTTTCACCAGTTGTATGTACATCAATATATAAATGGGTCTTGTTAGTGAGTTATACATAACATTATTCTTTGTTAAATTAATTTTCCAAACTAAGACCAGCTGGAATCACTAAAATAAGAAGGCTTATAGAAAAATTAAGGTTAGGGAAAACCACTCAAAACCTTTAGAATTTTGTAATATATGTGTGTATATACAGATATATATTCAGGTATTTTATAGATATAGATAAAGATATAGATATAGATAATTATATAGACACACACTGAGATAAGGCAGCAGGACTGCTGGGCGCTGCTACAGTCAGACACATGGCGGCAGGGGCCAGGCCGGGCGTTCCCTCCAGCCCCGTGCAGCTACTCAGGTGCAGGTACACAGCAGCAGGAAACTGGACTTAGCCAAAGCCAGGTTTTGCCAGGTGATTATGAAAAAAGAAAGGACCACATTCCAGAAGAAAGAGGAGTAAAGACATAAGGGTGGCAGTGAACACTGAAAAGGAAGCAGGGATGACAGTCCCAATGGGGAAGAAGTATTTCTAAAGACCGTGTGCAAAAGGATTTGTTGCACTGAGGGAGGATGGTGATCAGAGTGGGTGCTGGGCATCCAGATGTCAGAATAATCATTTTGGGAATGTTAGTTGACAGAAGACAGCAGACAAGATGACTGGAAAGGAGGTCAAGGGACAAAGTGAGGGATCCTAGTTTTGGAATGAATGACCTGTGCAGACACAGAAATGGCAAAAGTAGTAACCTGAAGGAAGACGGCAGATTCCCTGATAAAACCTTCAGTGAATGTGGAGGGAGTCTGGGGGTCTACAGAAGTCTCAAACAGGAAGGAATGGGAATGGGA